GTATGCAAGATATGGACTATATCATGGGCTATCTAATTCTGTCGCAATAAATATGTTTACGAGCATGAAACTTTAGATATAATGGTTGTAGCTGCAGGGTTCCTTAACATGTTGAGTGACTACTGCACGTACTTGAGAAGAGTGTTTGGGGCTCCTATTATTCAGAGGTCCACTTTATCTGCTGCTTGGTGGATTCTTCCCCCTGCGAACACAGTGAAGGTTAATGTGGACGCTCATGTTGTGGAGGGTTCTCATGTAAGCTTGGGTATGGTGATCCGTGATGAGTATGGTAAAATTGATGCTGTTGCTGTTAGAAGACCGAAGGTGCTCTGGCTGGCTGATGTTGCTGAACCTGCAGCTGCGAAATTTGGGCTTCAGGTGCCGCTTAGGCTTGGGTATCGCAGAGTGTGGCTGGAAGGAGATGCTATTAATGTGATCAAGGCTCTTGATAGCTCTTTGACAGAGGGCGTGCTCCTATTTATTTGCTTTATGATGATATTTGTAATTTATCTTGCTTATTAGATTCTTTTATGGGATCTCATGTTAAAAGGGGCGGGAATGTTAAAAGGGGCGGGAATATAGTGGCTCACTTAGTCGCTCGGTGGAACACGACGGGTAATGATGAACTAGTTTGTTTGGACTCGTTCCCCAAAGTATAATTACTTTGGCGGAGTTTGATTTGCAATAATAATTTCCGCTCCGTTTGTTTCAAAAAAAATAAAAATAAAATAACTTCCAAATCTCTTATTGTTTTTCTATTCTAAATATACATGCTACATTGCTAAATATATACCATGCATTAAATATAATTTCAATTCAAAAATATTAAGATGAATTGTGAAGGCCTTACTTTGTAAAACCAAAACCTCAAAAAAATCGAGAAAGAATTATCTGCTGAAAACTTCAACTTACATCATCAATCGCGATGATTCCACAAGATCAAGTAAAATACAGTAGCAATTCGTTGATTACATCCCAACAATATTTACCCTTCTTTTCATGGGCTGGTAAGTAGCTAAATTCTCCCTTTTTCTTTCTTAATTTTGTGATTAAATTTTCACTGTATATCTTTTCCTGTATAATTGTATTTTTGGCTTGCTGCTTAATTCTATGTTAATAATTTTATAGTATAATTACTTTAGTATACCCAGAACTTAAATTACCGGAACCTAATTTGTATATTGTTCAGGGTTTTAATTGTGAATTGATCCTCTTTTTCTGGAATTGAATTGGGATTTTCTGTTTTTTGTGATATTGCAAAGTGTAAATTATTCTTTTTTTTTTTTTTTTTGAAAGAAATTAATTACCCAGTTCATTGAATGCCTGTTAATCCAATTATGGTGTTGTTTAGTAGTTGTAGGTAGTATTATGGTTAATTTCCCAGTTCATTGAATGCCTGTTAATCCAACTATGGTGTTGTTTAGTAGTTGTAGGTAGTATTATGGTTAAGTTAAGTTGAGCCTGAGACCAGCCCACAAGGATTGGGGTTGAGCTCGTATTGAAGGCGGGTTATGGTAAACCTTAGGTGATTTTTTGTTGTGTATTGGTGTACCTCTTGTAAATAGGGTATTTGACGGTGATACTCTCTTCGTTCCATATGAATTGGGAAGAGTCCTAATTATGTGGCGGCACATGTTTAGGAGTAATATTATTAGGATAGACACTAGGAGAAGTGTGTTAGAATTCTTAGAAATGAGGGCTTTTATAGGACTCTAAATCATGGGATGGAGAGAGTAAGATTTATTGAATAAACAAGAAGTTCTAAGTTGTATAACAATTCATTGAAATCTTGAATAAATGAGGTTACAGTTGTATGTTTTAAACAAAAGATCAGACGAGTGCACCTTTTACATCTCACTGGAATTCACTGCTTTTTTATCATCAAAGCAAAAAGTTGTGTTAGTGTTTACAAATACATGAAGTCGTCCTTAGAAGGCAACCTTGTGAAGAAGTTGACTAGTGATTTAGGAAACTTGATGATGCGGAGCCATGGGTGTCTCAGTAGGTAAAAGCCGAGTATAGCTGCAATTATCCTGAATTCTATGAAATATAATAGTACAGAGGTACAAATACAGAAAAGCAAAAACACTGGAGTTGCTCTAGGATCTGCCCAGGTAATTAGGGACTGAAACCTTTCACCTATAGTAGCCCACTCCTCTAATTCAGCTTGTATCCTACTCCCTTTACTTCTGAGACGATCATATCTCATTTTGACAATATAAGATGGTTGGGAGGTTGGGAATGTATCAAACTCCTCATCAAGATCATCAGGGTCATCAATATCACCAAGAGACAAGTGAGAGTCCATATGAGGTGGGTGCCAAGCACGCCGCCATCTGTAGTTCCAGATGCTAATCAAGAAGAGTGAGAAAAAGATAATGGATGGCAATGCCTTAGGGTAGAGCAAAAGAGTTGTGAGAAGAATGTGGAAGAAAATAGTCAGAAAAGGCCTCTCCCACTTATATATCTGATCAAACCATCTCAGAAAATTCATGAATCTGAGGAAATTTGCCATGCTCTTTCTTAAACTCCAAATATTCAAGTCTACATCTAGCATGTAGTCAACAATCTCTTTTCTTAACGGCGGTTCCGCCTTACCAAGCCGGTTTGAGATTATCTGAGTGGCTATGTCTCTCAAGGTGTCAAGCTGCCGTACACTCAACGGGTAAATGTAGTGCATTTTAGGGAGCAGAGGTCTTGAATAAAGTTGCAACATGTTAATCCATGATGTACAAGTGAACCTTACCACCAGTTCAATTTCCCCTTTCATCTCCACCCCTGAGGAATGCAGGACTAGTAGTGGGTACCTATGCCTGTTAATCTGTCCAGATTCAAGGGTAGAAACACGAATTCTGACCTTGCCCATGCCAGAGTCATTTTCCCCACCATAATCATGAAAGTGATAATCATCAAACACAGCAATGGTGATGACTGTAAATGGATCAAAAACCTCCCAACGATGCTGTTCATTCCACTTTGGATTAGAGCTGTCTGTAATTGTCCGTGTTCGAACCCATTTCGTTCCATATTTAGCAACGCAATAAGCGTCAGTTCTTCCTCCATTATTCTTTTTTCTCATTGGCATTAATCCATGAGCACTTATAACTCCCACTTCCAAGATTCCAATTGGTGCCCTCCACAGCTGCTTTCCTGTTGGTTTAAGATCAGAGCAATAATTTGTTGCCTCACTTAAGACGTGGTATCCACCCTCCAAACAAATTCTTAAGTGGATTCTGCTACTAAATCTTCCCTGTCTTCTAGACTCGTCAACAATGCCAGCCCTTGAAAGAGAAAACCACCTACTCACCACTGGCCTTTGGTCCAACCTACGCTCTTGTTGTTGTAATGGAATCATACACCTTCCAAGGATTTCATGTCTACCCAATCCCCCTATGTCCTCTACTGTCAAAACCAAATGTTCCTCAAAAGGTTCAGCAGCTATGAATAGCAAATCCTCATTCCACATTGGGTTTGTGCCCTTAAAGGCGCTGGTCGTAGTTCTAAAAGTTTGATTCCCTATTACTGCCAACACTTGCAACTTTGGTAATCTGTGGCTATCACTAAGTACCAGATCTTGAGCTTCAATGACATTAACCCTAACATACCAAAGCTTTGGAAGAAGATACTCACCAGCAATCGACGCCGCATCAGAATGACAAGCCTGGGGGAAAATCTTATCAGCTTGAGTGCCCATCCAAATACCCAACAACAGTTCTCCTCTTGCAGCATCCTCATCTATACCAACCAGCTTATACCACTGTGGGGCCAAGTGAATCTGTCGATTACATTTTGGAGTTTGGTTTAGGTCAAAGGCAGGTAACTTTCCAATGAACTCATCTCCCAATGCAGTCTTATCCTTAATCACAACTTCTGCAATTGAGGCTCGAACTTGATCCTTTGAGAAAGCAAAAACCTGGTCCCATTGGGGATTGACATCCTTGACATGTCTAGTGGTTGCTTTATAGTCTCCTAGTTTCACTTCCGCATAAAGGTTGGAATTTCCATTGCTTGCATCTTTGGTGGGCAAATCGACGGCCTTGACAACATGAACAAATATGTACTCCATTTGTTCAACAAGGTCGTAAGAGCATATGCCTTCATATCCTGGCAACTTCATAGTGGCACCTATTGGAGGTCTGGTTTCCTTAAGGAGAAACGCTTCTTGCGGTGTTTTGGTGGCTGACTCCATTGATCAAATTAGTTGGGGAGTGAAGACTGCATAGAAGTTTAGTTGGATTACTGAGCAAGCTCAGATAATCTTTCTGGCCATAGATGAACCATTAGTGGAAGTCATCTCCCTAGAAGTTTCCTGCTTTTGCAAGTGTAGACTAATATTGGACCTTTTAACTCGTGCCAATTCTTCCTTAATGTGCTTGTGGACCAGGATTTCACCTAACAAGCAATCACAATTCAAAAAGCTACAATAAACTCATTGTTTTAAGTGGTTTGATTTTTATGATTTATTTATTTAGTTATAAATTATTTATTTTATTTATTTATCTATTGACATGGGGAAGAGTAAATTTGCAGATCTAGAGGTATCAATACCTATTCTTACCAAGAATTACTAAAGTGAAAGAAAAATTCAATTTACAACGGTCACTTTATTGGAAGTAATAAAAAACTTAGTTGCTTTCTTATAATCCACTAATGGCTTATTTTGTCTGGATTATTGGGGATGCTCTAATTTATAATGTGGTGGTGCCTAGGCCATCAAAAATAAATATAAATAAAAGTACCCGGTGGCCCAGTGGGGCATGATGTTGGTAGTGGAGGTATTAAAATTGACCATTGTCAAGTATTTCTCATTTAATACCTATATTTTGCTTAGAATAAGGCATGAAATCAGATATTGTAGCTTATTACTTAAGTATTGAGATGATAATCTTATTTTTAGATTAATTTGTTGTAGGCTTGTAATTGTAGCAGGCGAAAAATGATTAGTAAAAAATATTATCAGAAGGAAGGTTCAGCACCTTTTAGGTTGGTTGGTTCTTGCTTCTTGCCATATCCCCTTCATTTGGGACCTCCAAATTCCTCTCCACCATGTCATATGCAGTAGTAAATGTGGAGTGTATTTTAACAAGAGTGCATAATTTGAAGTTTCGTTTTTGGTCACCTTTAGGAAATGTTGATCCTTCACAGGTCTGGAATTATTGGTTCAGTTATTTGAAAAGCCAATGTGTAGTGTTTGATTTGTCGTTATATTGTCAAATCTTTTCCAAAAGTCCAAAAGCAGCAACTTAAAGCAAGAGGTATGAAAGTGTAAACCACCCAACCCCAATGAAGCTACAAATTACAAAAAGGGTACACATAGACTATTGTCTATGTGTACCCCACATAGACAAGGCTTATATTGGCTAGGAAAAGTTGGCCCACTTGATCCCACATGAATAGTTTAGAAATTTCTATTCGAAAATTTTGCAAACGAAAAAATTTGAATTTTGAATTTAATTGTATTTATGGCGGTGAATGATGTTGGAGGATTTGCGAGAAGCATGGAATTAAAACTCGGCCGTTCTGTTATATAGCGGCCGTTATGTAACGAATTTTGGATTTGCCGTTCCGCAAAACCCCGTTATATAACGCCGCGACAAAAATCACATCTTTCACCCCGCGTTATCCGTTATGTAACGGTGACTCGCCGCGGTAGAACATTTTTTAACGCGTTACATCCATTTAATATATTAGAAATTGATTATATAGTCTATAAAACATGATATTTAGTAGTTTTTATTTACCATATATATTACCTGCTTTTATTTTGATATATATGGTTATTTTATGTTCAAAGAATACATTTTTAACTTAAAAGCTATAAACACCACTTAATCCATTAATGTGAATTTATTTGAAAAATTCACACCGCGCTTGCCGCGATCCGTTATATTCGTCCGTTATAAGCCGTTCCCGCGACAACGTGACCATTACCGCAATCGCGACCGCATCCTCAAATTTTTTTTTTATGGCGAGAAGACACCATGGAGGGGCGACGACGGTGGCTTTAAGGTGAGTAAGGTGGTTGAGAGGAAAGGAAGGGCCGATGGTCGGCGTAATTAGAGAGTGATGTGGTTTAGAGTATGAAACGATGGTTGGCGAAATAAAAAAAATAGATGTTTTAGTATTATTTGTATTAAGACGAGTTTTGGAGACTGTGTAAAGTCAAATGGGGCAAAAAAATAGGGATAGAATGAGTAACTTCAAACCAGTCATATTTCTTTATAAATACCTAATTCATCAAATACAAGTTATACAACATATTCCCTAATTTACTCAGTAAGCTATGTAAAAAAAGAAAAAAAATTTAGTTCGTTTATAAAATTTCAATTTGACCAATTACTTTTAAAACTTACTTTTGATGTCGCCAAAAAAAGGTTTTAAACAACAATGTCAGCTATCAAATTAAAATCTTTAGCTTCAAATCAATGAATTTCTTCACTGTCGTTTGCCATTGCTATACAAGTGGTTTCTAAAACTACTTAATTACCTAGTTTGGAGAAGTATTTTTTTTTATGAATATGGCGCGATAATTTCAATAACGCATTTACCGCTCCTCTCTCCTTAGGCGGGACTCTTACACGCTTTTTACCGCTTATTCTCACGCTCAAGTCTCTTTCTTTCCATTTTTTACAATGCTGATGTGTCGCAATATTATTAGTTGTCTATGTGGGGCTACACATAGACTTTGTCTATGTGTATCAGCTCCCTACAATTTAAGGCCTCAACAAAATCAATCAATCAATCAATCTAAGCCTTAATCCCCATAAGTGGGTCGGCTACATGAACCAAATTTGATTATTCCGTGTAATCATCAACAAAGATCCTCCTCCTCCATCCCTTAAGATCCAAGGCCTTAAGGCCTCAACAAAATGAATGTAAAAAAAGGAAACTAAACAGCATTATGCTAAATAAAAGAGCAGTAGTGTAATTATGACATCTCTGAGTCTGTCAGTAACAATCAGTATTCAGTACCTTATCTCAAGGAACTTCTGTACCATAGTGTACTGTAGACAATAATTCCAGCCTTAGTGTTATTTCTTGACAGTAGTTATCATGTTCACTGGAAATAAATTAGATGCTTCATTTTGACAGGGTATGTCTTCAATTTCAGACAAGATCGGATCTCAATTGCTCCAATTACTGGCATAGCCTCTTTATCCACAGTCCAGTCCTCCAGTTCTTTCAATTTCCAGAGCTTTAAGAAACGAAGTTGTTGAAAGCTTGAAGCGGGGCACATCATAGTCTTTCCAGTATAAGATTCAGAGAGCAAATCAAGGATTCTCAACTCTTGAAGCTTCCCCAATATGGGCATTGGGTCTTGTTCTAACTTGGACAGAGACAGAGTAATCTGTGAAAGTCTTTTTGGAAGTGTGGAGAGTACACTAACGTGTGTAGACTCTATCTTTCCAAACAAGTAAAGACTTTTGAGATTAGCAAGGCCTGAAAGATGCTCAAAATAGAGGCTAGATGGTTGGACCACTTGATTAATTGACCTCAATTTTAAGGATTCAAGGCAAGGCACGTTAACAATCCACTCTTCTAGGGCCTTCTGTTTTGAAGCTTCCATTTGACATGTCAATGACAGTTTTTTGAGACTCTTTAGCCTATCTAAGCCATCTTTAATTAGGCTCTGATCATCTATGTACCCACCCCACAATGTTTGTAGATCAGTTAAAGAGATTGGCGTCACACTAGAGGGACATGGTAACCTAGTACGGTAGTCCTGACTGAGGTACAAGTGTCTCAATTCTTTCAGCTTCCAGATGGAATGTGGAACTGTGCTTATGCTAGTGTGTTTCAAGTCCAGTGTCTGAAGCTTCTGCAAGCAGCCAACTGATGCCGGGAGTATATCTGAATAAGTCCTCCTTAGCCCCAAATATCTAAGGTGGCTAAGTTCCTTAAGCACAAAGTCAGGTAAAATGGGACGGAAAACACCTTCAAGATCCATTACTCTCAATCGTTTAAAGCCTCCCATCTTGATGCCTTTTATTAGAAAGTCTCTGATGTGCTCTCCTGGCTCTCGCCCTTCTCTCGGATCAAAGGATAGGAACGAACGCATATGCTTAAAGCTAGTTGGTAAATTACCCCTTTGTTGATTCCGTTCAGCTGCTCTCTCAGAAGAGGTAGCACCCTCTACTTCTGGAAGATGAGCGAGCCTATAGACGTGGATCACATTGCTGCTGCTACCATTAAAAAAATGAGATTCCTGGGCTTTTGGTAGCAGTATATCTCTGATAATATGATGCAGCCGACATGCCTTGATATCACCATTAGTCTTCTTTCTTAGAACCTGTATGACTGTTCGATTTTCCAAATCAATTAGGTACTTATTTGCTGTAGCCTCCAGAGGTATCTCATCATTGAACCCTTCGGGATGCACTAGTCCCTCAGCAAGCCAAAGTGCAATCAGCCGTCTAACAGGAATTTCATAATTCTCATCAAAAAGCAGAAAATAATACAGGCATTTTTTAAGATTAGGTGGTAATGCATCAGCAGCTATATGTTTGATAGAACCTTTTTGTTGGAGCTCTTGCAGTAGCCAATTCCAGCGATCCACAGTTCTTGCTTCCCTAGAGAGAATACCCACAGTCTCTGATATTGTCAGTGGCAAGCCCTTGCAGCTTTCTACTATGGCCTTTCCCAGATGCATCAACTCCTGAGGCACATCTCCAAGTTTAGCACAAAATAGCTCCCAACTTTCCTCTGGAGTTAGCAACTGCACTTGATGAATTAGCCCTCTTGAGCTGGCCTCCAAGGCAGTCTCTCTATCTTGGGTGACAATGATAACTGCACCAGCACATGTGATTGGCAACACTTCTTGCAGCTGTCTCCAGACTTCAGGTTTCGAGACATCATCTAGCACTATTAGGTAACGCTCTCTGCTACTCAAAGCCAATAGTATACTCTGTACCAGATCTCCATTGTTATATCCCTGTATAACTTGCTTGGCTATGCTGTGCAAAATGTCCCGAGGATCTGAATCCTGTTGTACAGTTACCCAAGCACGACAAGTAAAATGACTAGCTATCATGGCATTATTATAGACCATGGATGCAAGCGTTGTCTTGCCAACGCCCTTCACTCCCAATATTGTAATTGTAGAAGCACGATTACGTTGTTTAGAAAGAAGATAACCTTCCAAAATTTGCGCACTTTCATCACGGCCAACTACACTGCTCCCATTCCATGTCTCAAGCCCAAAGGACGAGTCTGCAACTGCGGTAAAGTTTAATTCTCTAGCTCGTGTAATGAGTTCAGAAATCTGGACTGCTACTTGCTTTAAAAGTTTAATTAGTTCCTTTTGAGTCCTGGCATTGCTCAACAATGACACATACCTCTTGAACTTAACTCTTTCTATTTGGCCCTCTCGTTTTTTGATAAAATTATCAATGTGGGTTTTTGCAGAAAAAGCAACATCTTTCAACTTTCCCATCAATAAGTTTACCTCCCTGTCGTTTGAGCTTCTTTGTGCTTCTGATCCTTTTAGTATAACCTGTAAAGCTCTTAAACCCGGCTCGAGTGATTCAAATTGATCTTCAAATCCCTGTATTATTGGGGATTCCTCAGAGATAAGCTCTGCAACTTTTGAGATTATTTCAGTAAGATCAATCTCATCTCCGGATCTAGTTGCCATACTGCTTTCAGCAGAAGTGCAAACAGTGGATAAATTTGAGTGCAAGAAAAAAAGACAATTTGCAGTAAGCTTCACTTAAGATAACGGTTTTCAGTAAGCTTCTTTGTGCTACTTTATATCAACTTTCTCTTCTTTTCTTTTCTTTTCTTTTCATACCTTTTAAATTTATTCTTATTGGTGTGTGGGCGTATGGGGCTCTCTATTGTGGGGTTTGGCTATTTTTCTTCTACAAACTTTCCAGACAACTTAGTCGTGGTATTTTTTTTATTATTTTTTTTATGTTGTTAAAATGTTGCTACTTGTTCAATTGATGGGGTAGGTGAGGAGTAAAGAGACTAATGAGGTTTCTGTCTGTCATATAAAAAATAAAAAAAAGAAAAAAACCCAATTTTCATCTGGTGTGAGTTTTATACATTTGAATTTTCAAAATTTAGGTGAATATATGTGCTGTTCACTATATAGATTCAGTGATTAACCAGAGCTCATGTCCATCTTGTGCAAACCAGCACAAAACCTCTTTAATGACATTAAACACAACTTCTGCCAAACCAACAGCATTTTAGTAAATTTAACACTTAATTAACAGGTATTGGTGTTTTTATTGTGCGAGGAAGGGGTGAACGATGGTACAGATAATCCCTAAAGTTTGGCTCAAGCTCTGGAACCAATGGGAGTTCCATGTGATGAAGTTATGGAATGAATGGGAGATTCGGGCGTTGGTTCTTATAAGCCTTTTGTTGCAGGTAATGCTTATTGTTTTAGGCAAGCAGAGGAAGCGTGACAGACGAAAGCGGATAAGGTATACACTTTGGCTTGCCTACTTATCTGCTGACTGGGTTGCTACCGTTGCTCTTGGCAGTTTGTCTAATCAACAAGGTGATGACACAGTCGATTCCAGCAACGTACTAAAAGCATTGTGGGCGCCAATTCTTCTCTTGCACCTTGGTGGCCCAGATACTATAACTGCTTACTCCATGGAAGACAATGCATTGTGGTTGCGGCACTTACTGGGGCTTTTAGTACAGGTATTGGTTGCATTTTACATCTTTGTCAAGTCTTTGAGACTCACCCAGCTCAACTATGTCGCTATCCCAATGTTTGTCTCTGGAATCATTAAGTACGGAGAGAGGACCTGGGCTTTAAGGTCTGCAAGCAGTGACCAATTCAGGGACTCGCTTCTTCCTAGCCCTGATCCAGGCCCCAACTATGCTAAATTTATGGAAGAATATGTTTTGAGAGAAGCTGAAGGATATAACATTCAATGGACGAAAATGAAGGATCCCAAGGTGGTTGTTCGTAGCTTAGTAACAGACAATTCAAAAGATTGCCATATTGAAGCTGCATCTATTCCCAAAAGAGCTTATGAATACTTCCAGATATATAAATGCCTCTTTGCAGACCTTATCCTTGGCTTTCAAGAGCTTGAGATGAGCAAATCTTTTTTCCTACACAGTGAATGGAAAGAGGCGTTTAATGTTGTTGAAATTGAGCTTGCTCTTGTCTTTGATTCTTTTTACACAAAGGCTGCCATACACTACACCAGATGGGGTCGCATATTACGGCTTATCACTGTATCTTCGACTTTTGTCACATTGGCAGCCTACTACTTCTCACAAAAGCACAAGTATTCTGAAGTTGATGTGATTATAACTTACACTTTGTTGGTTGGAGCTGTTTCCCTTGAGATTTTTGGCATGGTTGTTTGGCTTTGCTCAGATTGGGCCCTGATATGGCTGGACCATCATGAGAAGATGCCAGTCAAGCAAATCTATAAGGCCATCTCATGCCTTAAAATTTTCAGTAGCGACAGTAAGTGGTCTAATCACATGATGCAGTACAATCTGATAAATTCATGCTTTGAAGCGGCTCTGACTAAATCATGCATACTGCTTCCCTGTTATTTCTATCGCAAACTCCAAATGAAGACCAAAACAGAGCTAACAGAAAGAGTTCCGGACATGCTGAAAAAATATATTTTCAAGCAGCTTCTTGAGCATACATCAGATTTGAAGGAAGATAGGGCATTTTGCACTTCGCGAGGTTCATGGGTTCTGGATAGATACCAATCACAAGATCTCAACTGGAGCATTGAGAAAGAATTTGATCAAAGCATCCTTCTTTGGCATATTGCTTCTGATTTATGCTATCACACAGATGAAGACTCGGGACCTGAATCAGCTTGCTATGTTGAATGTCAAGTGAGCAAGCTGCTGTCAAATTATATGTTGTACCTACTAGTAAAAAGGCCATTCATGTTGCCGAATGGAATAGGGAAAATCAGGTTTCAGGATACTTGTGCAGAGGCAAAGGATTTTATTCAGGAAAGATCTGTGAAGGATGCTAAAACAGCCAGACAAAGGTTGCTCACTATAAAAACTAACATATTGCCAGGTGATATCAAAGGTGATAGAAGCAAGTCAGTCTTGTTTGATGCTTGTCGCCTCGCAAAATATTTACAAAACAGAGATTGGAAATGGAAGATTATTGTTGGCGTATGGGTGGAGATGCTAGTGTATGCTGCAAGCCAATGTAGGTCAGATCACCATGCTCAAGAGCTGGCTCAAGGAGGGGAGCTTCTCACTCATGTATGGCTGCTGCTGGCACATGTCGGGTTAAGTGAACATTTCCGAATATCAGAGGGCCATGCTCGAGTAGTATTAGATGTGACTTGAAGGGTGAACTTTACAAAGCTTTTTTTTTATTTTTTTAGTTATGCCCTGTTTCATCTGCTGCAGATTTCATGTATAATTTTTATTCCCTACTGATCTGATGACTGATCCCTGAGGTGCCAGCCTTTAATTTGTTGTCAACTCATTGAAATCTTATCAAAGTTTAATTTACATTAAAGCATAAACTTTTTGACTTATCTGGGCTTTGTTAGTAACCGGGTCTGTCATGTTATTGATCTCGTGTATATTCACAGTTTACCTGTCAGTACATCCCTTTCACAGCTTAAGAATACCGAAATATGACCTATTTGTCATATGCTTCATATGACAGTATTGTTTACCTATGGTAACACCAAAAACTAAGTGGAGGTAGCACACAGATTAAGATCTTTGCCAGTTGAAGTTTCACTTTCACCAAAAGGTTAAAATATACTTCGTATGATATTATGTTAATAAAATTACTTTAGTAGATTGAGCTCTTGTGATGATTGATCAATACTCTCAGAATATGTGCTGACAGATATACTCATGTATAGCAGATAAAGCAGATACCAGTACGGGTAACAGCTCAACAGGGAAGGCCGGACGGCAGACGCAAAGCTCCCAGGTGGGTAAGTCACATACAGCTTCTGTGATGAAGATTTATTTAAAAGGATATATTGCAAAATTTATGCAGGAAATCACACAAAATTTTGCTCTTGTTTATGTTTGGTCCTATATTCAGATTTCTCCTTTCAATTTACTCCATACGAATATTTCTGCTTCTATAATTCTGATGTTCTCCTGGTTTAAAATGCATTCCAGTAAGGAGTCTAAGGATGGAGTATAGCATCAACATGCATGGAAGACTTATATGGGAGCTAAACATTCAACAAAGTGACCAGGTATGTCTTCTGGTATCTAGAAGTTGTATCTACTTCATGAAATTCATACCCGAAACAATATTGTAGGATCCTACATTCTATAATTCCTCTCTTGTTTGTCCATTCTTTTGAGGTCGTCATTATCTGCAGAACATTTCATGGTTCATTATTTTGTTCTGCAATTGTATTTCATTTAGTCATTATTACCCGACTTTATACCACTATTCCAGTATTAGTTTATATGTGTCCTTGAGTCCAAGGCTTAGTTTGTCAATTTCCATTTTATGATTTGTTTTTTTAGTGAACGAAGATGGAAAACACTAGGAATTTTGATCTCAGCTAATACTCGTATTGAATACTTTGGCAAATTTGATAGATGAGAAGCCTACTACTACGTATAAAGATTGAGAGAGACATCCTATTAACTGTTCCCGCTTGGCTTGACTTAATAAAACTGCAAATGACTCATCAAGTCTATGCCTTCACCTTCAGGTCACTTGTGTCAAGGTCACTTGAGTGCATTCATTTTCATGGATTATTATGTATTAATGTGTGGTGAATGGTGATGATGCAAAAATATCATACGAAGTATATGGAATGAATTTAAGGTCATTATCAATTTTGCCTTCATTAAATGAAGTTAACTCTGTTTTGTAGTGTGGAAAATTAAGAATTATTATCAAGTCACTATATTTCATCATTTTACACATTTGTTTACAAGTGACAAGGGACATTAGGTGTAGAAAACTAGAAACGGTAGATAAACCAAAATTTGACTCCATGAACATGATTTTAGACGCAAAAACTTTGTTTCAGATCTTTTTTGATTTTGTATTTTCATCATAATAGTTTGGATCATACTCCTCCATATGACTTGATTCTGAAAGATAGTTATTGGACAATTGTTTAAGATTAGAGAATGCTCCTAATCCCATCGGAAATTTTCCCTTAGCTACATAAAGAACTTGTAGGCTAACGCAACCCGAAATGTTGGTGGGAATTTCCGCACTGACTATGATCGATAAGTTTACTCTTGAAGGTCAATTATCAACGCCATATAATCTGTATCGTTACAAACAATGGCAAAACTATGTAGGTGCACGTGCATCACCCATCCAAAAATAAAAATAAAAAAAAAATTTGAAGTTCAACTAAAAAAATAAATCAAAAATCAAAGAGACAGGTCTCTTTGATGCTGCTATTGCATTTTCAGAGTTTCACGCTGTTTTCTTTTTATAATTGAAGACACCAGTTATATTTAATATTGAGTAATTGGACTCTTAAGTTATATCACTTTTTTTTTTCTTTTTTTTTTTGCTTTTGCTTCTATTTATATATTTATGTGTGCATCCCATTTTAAAATTTTAAAATAAATGTTTTATAGTACATTTGTTTATAACATGCTATTTGTAGTACTTTCGACTTGTAAGATGGATTTTTTTTTTTTTTGTATTACTTGGTTGTAGTATGGATTTATGGGTCCTATTTTTCGATTGAAATCGATTTGGTTGTAATATAATTTTTTTTTACGGAGTACATAATTTTTGGATTGAAATTAATTATGAACTAGACCCAGAAAAAAAAATTATATTTTCACAAGTGATCAATAATTGATGTCACCCACCATCTCAGAAATCCTGGATCCGCCGCTGGTTACAAAGGGCATTAGCGACTCTAAGATGTTGCATTCCAAATATAACAAGCAATAGGGAATGGACTGCTTGTAATTGTATATATGAAAGACTTGGGATGGCTTGGCTTTATTTTGTATGATTTATTATTATTATTTTTTTTAGTATTTGTAGGTTTTGTTTTGTTTTTTTGTTGAAATTATACCTTCCTTTTCCAATTCATTATATAGTTCGTATAAGATATAACGATAAGCCAATAAACTTATTGTAAGTTTACAACGCGTAAGACTTGATTTAAATTATGGTACACTGTTTAACACGTCGAGCTTTTGTTTATTTGTTTCTACTGTATCTAACATGGCGAGCCTAGTTGTTTACTTCGTACAAGACTATTCAATTCAATAGTCTTTGGTGAATTGTGAAGATGAGAATAGTTATCGTTAAAGATTTGAGGGAGACAACCTTTACATACCGATTGAATAGTCCAGCAGGTCACTTAGTGTCGAGGTCTTTATCTTATGTACTTTTCAATTGAAAATATGAATTATTACTTTTATCCAGATTATTAATGGGTGGTTTATATGGAAATATCAAAGGAAAAATTGTCAAAAATATTACAAACTTTAAGTGCTCCGTTAAAAACAAATCAATCTTTTAATTATTTCTAAATCAGCAACTTTTTGGTGTAGCAGGCCACACTGTGTGGCAGGGGTTACCCGAATTATTTTGTTAGGGGTTACCCGAGTTATTCAGTCAAGGGTTACTCGAGTTACTCGGTCAGGGGTTACTTAAGGGGTTCGGACAGGGGTTACTTGAGGGGTTCACTTGGTCAAGGGTTACTTGAGGGGTTCACTTGGTCAGGGGTTACTCGAGTTACTCGGTCAGGGGTTACTCGGTCATGGGTTACTCAAGTTACTCGGTCAGGGGATACTCGAGTTACTCGGTTAGGAGTTATTCAAGGAATTCGATCAGGGGTTACTCGAGTAATTCAGCCAGAGGTTACTTAAGGAGTTCAGTGAGGGGTTACTCGGTCAGGAGTTACTTGAGGGTTCAGTCAGGGGTTATTTGAGGAGTTACTCAGTCAGGGGTTACTAGAGGGGTTACTCGGTCAGGGGTTACTTAAGGGATTACTCGGTCAGGAGTAACTCGAGGGGTTACTCGAGGGGTTTGATTAGGGATTACTCGAGAGGTTACTCGATCAGGGGTTAATTAAGGGGTTACTCGGTCAGGAGTAACTCAAGTAACCCCTGACCGAGTAACTTGAGTTACCCCGACAACTCGAGTAACCCCTGACCGAGAAACTCGAGTAACCCCTGACCTAGAAACTCGAGTAACCCTTGCCGTACGGTACAACAGGCCGCATACGAAAAATTGTGTTTCTAAATAATACAAATTTTGGGGAGTATCCGCTTTAAATAGGATATTTTACCTACAACCTATATAACCAGTTAACAGTTTTTTTATATAAATTCTTTTAACACCTAAGTAAAGCTTTAATCATAGTTAATTAACAGTTAAAATATTTTTTTTTTTTAAAAAAAAACACATCCCTCCCTCACCACCAGCCTCCCCTCCTCCCCCACCAACAGCTCCCCTCTCCCAGTCCCGGTGGCGCCAGCCCAGCTACCCCACCAGGTCGCCGACCGCCGCCTATATCCTGCACCACCTCAAATCACTAACCTACACCACACCTAACTCTCCTTCATCCACAACCACCAAACCTACCTCAAGCTACTGCCCACACAACCACCAAACCGAGCAATAGCAGCAGCCTCCCCTTCTCCTCTCACCATCCAACATCACAAGCAGCCACCTGCTGCAAGTCTGTGATGTGAGCCATATTATGAGCAAGCATGCAGTGCACGTGACTACAGGAGAAGGAAAGGAAAACGACTTTACTAAGCTGTCCAAGTAATCTTCTAGAATAAGAATCTTAATATAACAAACTTCCTTGAAATCAGCTCATTCGGTTATGCTTAGCTGGATATTGTTGATGTAAGGGGAATGTATTAGGCTGCTATATAAAAACCAGCAATGCTCATGTAATAAGGATAATATATCAATCAATCCTTTCCTCTCCCTCTCTCTATCTCTTGTACTATCAATTACAATTGCAATTATATAATTAATTCTCGTGAGTTCCCTTCTACAATATTGGATATTCACTGGTTAATTGTATACCAATACTCCTTAATTCAGTTAAGGTTGGATTGGGCGAAAATACATAGTCATTGTCCGGTTGTGATTTCATCTCTGTATTCCGGATCGCATCATTGGTATCAGAGCAGCAGCATTCTCGGACTACAATGCCTCCTAAGAAGAATTCTGAGCAACCTGAGGATGGAGACACTGTCACTCAAGCTGATATCCATAAAATGGAGGTAACTCTGAAAACTTTAATAGAGTCACAGAGTAAAGACTTAGCTGATTCTTATAAGACCAATGCTGAAAACATTAGTAATAACACCAAATCAATTTTAGATCTTAATGACCTTGTCGTAGGACTGTTGCAATGCAAGTAACAAAACTGTTACAAGAAAAAGAGGGACATACAGGAAGTTTGGGAGAGAAATGTGACCTTAATACTACCCCATTTTACTCAACTAGGCTAACAAAGATTGATTTCCCAAAAGTCAATGGGGAAAACTTAAAAGCCTAGCTGTACAAGTGTAATCAATTTTTTGACCTGGATAATATTTCAGA